TTCACCTATAGATTATTTATTAATCTTATAAAATTCTCTTAAGTAAAAACTCCAAATCAATTCCAAAAGATCCTTGTTTTAGTTTTTTTTATCAATTCTTACTCTCTAATTTGTAATAGAATTGTAAAATTGTCATAAATACTTGATTTTGTGTCTTAAGGTCTAATTTTGATCCAAGCTCACAATTGGTCTTCTTTGAATATCAATTCTTGATTTCTTAAGATAATTTTTGCTACAAACTACTTGTAACTTCTTTTTTAACATACTTATATTTTTATTTTTTAATATATTTTTATTGTATTTTTTATGGCTATACAAAGTAAAGAAAAGTATTTTTTACAAAATTTAGTATTAATACTAAATTTTTTTACTACCTTCCTATCTTTTATCTATATTTTGTTATTATATCTTTCAATTAGACTCTTCTATAGTAGAATCTATATTTTTATCTTTCACCATATAGTCGTATTTAAATAAAACAACATATCAAATTTATAAAATTCTAAATATCTAATATATGACTAAAAAACTCTGTCAAATTTTCTTTAAGAAAATATTATATATCTAATATGTTTCTACTTACTTTTATTAACTCATATTTATTTCTATTCTTTTAAGTAATATAATCATCCATTACAATTAGCTCTATATTTTAAAATAACCTATTTATTTTTTGGATGCTATCATTTCTAATACCTTTAATAACATTATTACCAACTACTTAATAAATTTCTTTCTTTATATTATACATTTTGTACTGCAATTCAATATTATTTTTACTTCAATTTTATATATAATTAATGTTACTACCATTGATTTAGTATTATTTTCAACTTGTAACCTCTACATATGTGTAGTACCAAAATCATATTATTTTTATATTTTCTTTAATATAAAATCATTGCATACATCCAAACTATTAATTAAAAAAAAAAAATTCTATCTTTTACCCTTGAAATATATACTTCCTATTGCTTAATATATTTAATAAATAATGAGATTTTTTTCTTGTGATTATATCTTTAAATTGAATCTATTATAACTTCTTTTTGCTAAATTCATTTAATTATTTTTTTCTTATTGTTCTTTGTATAATTAAAAAATAATAATCACTACATATTTATTTTTTAGTAGCATATATATAAAGTAGTGACTCAATATGTTCTTTAAAATAATGTTTTACACTTAACCTCTTGCTTGTTAATTCCGTTCTAAATATTATATTTTATACCAATTTCAATTCTAGGTACATTGCTAAAATAGACACTTAAGATATAATTACTATGTTTGTTGCAAGGTGTGGATATAAATAAATATAATTCTATCTTTTGTAGACATCTTGAAGCTTTATAGTTGCATTCAAAGTTGAAGATTAGATGAAGTCATATGTAAGGTCAAGGTTGAAATAAGTTGATGATACATTTTGGTTTTAAAATTAAGATCCAATTCCTAATATTGAATTTTGAAATTATAATCAAATTTATTGAATCAAAAAAATATTAAATTTTAAAAAATTAAATTTTAGATTTATAATCAAAGTTAGATTTGCATGTTATTTTATAAGTAGGAATAAAAGATTATAATTAGAATATATTTACATTAAATAATACATATATAATTTTATGTTCTAATTTTTTTATGTATATATAAATATAAAAAATAAATTAAAAAAATAACAGAGTTTTTTGACAAGAAGATATTATAATGATTATTATTAAGTACTAGAAATTGATCAAATTTAAATTTAAAATAAAATATAATAAAAATATTAATAAGTATAAAGATATTTTTAGTTTTACTTCTATATTTTTTTCAATTGCTAGTTTTAGACTTAGGTACAAATTGGCTAAGAACTAATAGGCTACTAAATATTTGTAGCTAATTAATTGCTTATTTAGCCAACTAGCTTCTGTTTGAGTTGGCTAATTTGGGCTTATAGATATGTATTAAATACATCTACTATGTACAAAAAAAATAAACACATCAATAAAAAAAAATTACACAATAATAGTTGAAAAATCTCATGTATTATAAAATATCAATATAGGGTTTTATTAGTTGGCTTAAGTCCTAATGAGTTAATTAGAATTTTTAATAAGCTAGTTATTTTTTTATATCAATTTAACAATTGGCTCATTTTTAACCAACTAACTACCTAAGTTTGGCTATTTAATAATTGGCTATTTGATTGATTTAAAAAAATCTAAATATTTAAATTTTATTTATTTATATAAATATTTTTTTATATTTACTAAAGAATATATTGCATATCTAACCTATTTCAATCTCAATTCATATGTTTTCATCCATAAAGAAGTTTAAATACTATTATTATTATTTTTTTAAAAGACTATTTCTACAAAAAACAATCAAATTTTAAGTTATTTTATAAGTTTATAATATTTAAGATATGCTAAATAATATTTTCTACAAATTTTCATTAATGCTTTGCATAAAGATAGTTCATAAGCTTTTTGAACCATTGATAACATCTTATATTTGTAAAAATACCATCTAGTTATTTAATAATTGTTGATGTTCTCAAAATTATATTAAATAATATATTTTAAATGCCAAAAAATATATCATTTATTTTAATAATATTTCCAATCACTAAGAATCTTTTACCAGATTGTGGTACCAACATATTATATTTTGCAATCATTTAGAAAAGAATGTCTTTCTTAAAAAAATTCATTTTAATATTTATGTTATAAAAATTTAAGTTGTTATTTTGGTAGTTTTCATAATGATGATTTTTATAATAAAATCATTTTTTAGTAATTTTTTATTCAACATAAGAATTTTTTAATAAGTTATAAATGTATCTTAAAACAAATTGAATATTGAATATTTTTTTTCTAAATTATACAATCTTATTCTTATTCTTTATAATTGGATTTTAATTTAAATAGATGTTATATATATATATATATATATATATATATATATTAAGAGTCCTAAATAGTTTCCACATGTGTTCATTAATATCATATATGCAAATATATAAGATTTTTGAATTTATTTTCATATTTTTCAAATCCAAGTTTTTTTTATTTTAATTTCCTGATTGATATTCATTTCAACATGAAGTAGTGGTAATTGCTTCTTTTGTAATATATATATATATATATATATATATATATATATTTATAAAATTTAATAATAAAAAACATAAAAAATATAAATATAAATATAATAAATTTAATAATTATTGTTAATATAAAAGTAGAATAATTTATTTTAAAGTAAAAAAAAATTAGAATCTTAGGTAATGTATTTAAAACATTAATTAGTTTTTGTACTATAGAAAGTTAATCATATATTATTACCAACTGTAATTAAATATTTTTAATTTTTCTATAAATTTTAATTTTTTTATTTATTGTTCTAAGATAAAAATTAATTAAAATTTTATTGTTATATTAAACTCTAATAATTTGCTTGAATTTTTTTTATTATAAGATTAATTGTTTTAAATAATGTATATTAGATTGTAGATAATAATCAAGAAAAAGAAAAGAAAATATTCATTGAATAGAAGGATAAATTTTGTTATTGTATAAAAGTCTCATTAATAATAAATTCTAATTTTTATGAAATTTTTTGATGTTACATTATAAATTTTATTTCAATATTTAATCTCTATGTTTGGTTTGTCTATCACTTTGTAATTAATTGCCTATTGGTCCAAATGGTAGTTGAGTTTCTTCTCAAAGGTCAATTATGTAATTATAAAAATGATATTTGTATAGAGTAAGTGCATTATATTTTAAAAAAACTTCAAAGATTGTAATTCTATAAAATTGCTATTGTAATTTTTATTTAAATAAAAAAATAGATGTTGAATAATTATTTTATTTTATTTTATTTTGTCGCTTTCATAAATCACCTTATTCATACAAATAGAGATTTAAATATATTTTTATAAGAGGCACAATTCTTGTTATAGTGTTTTATAAAGCAAAATAAGACCACAAGATATCTAATTTATCTCAGAATTATATCTATTATTGTAATAAGCTCAAAATAAAAAATTAATAATATAAATTGTATTATATTCACACTAATATACACAACTATTGCTACTTGTAAGATTTCTTAGATAATATTTTAAAAAGTTAAGAACTAGCCATTTATAAGTTCAATATATATATATATATATATAAGTTTATATAATAAAGATATTTGTGTTTAATAATGTTTCATCAAAAATTAAGAAAATATTCTAAAATTTAATAAAAAAATAGATAGAAGCTATTTGACTATTAGGTGTTAAATGTAATTATGCTATAAAACAAAATAAAAATAAAGATGTAAATAAGAATTCAAGATCTTTATAAGAGAAAACTATACAAATATCCACACTACAAAATCTTTAATTTAAAATTTCATATATATTTCTTTAGAACTTTAGAAATAAACCTTCCAACCTTCTATAATGGTTACTACTAGCAATGTAGTAGAAGGTTGGGCTAGTTTGGACTAGTAAATAAACCTACTTGTGCCAATTTAGAGAGTTGCTTATCAAATATTGACAAATAGTGCCTACCTTAGATGAGAGACAAAATCCTTCTTCAAAGAACAAGTTGCAGGTCACTTGATGAGTGAGTGAGACCCAAAGGAAGGGCCGCAAGGCTTGGTTCTGGTAGGCAATTTTTGCGAAGAAAGCATAAAATCGAAGCGTCAATGTTATTACGAGGAATGACATGGTGCATCGGCAGAGAGGATCTTGAAGACGGATTCCTGTACCACATTGTATGAAATTGGGTAGGGCGGCATTGTTAGCTATTTTTGTCTGACATCAAGTATCCTGAGAATATAGATGAAACTTTGAGCTGGACTATGAGGAGCACAGATGGCACTTCACACTTCACAACTTGAAGTGCACTGTGTTCATTGTGTGTTCACGGTAACGAATTTTAGATTAACACACTGTCGGCACTAAGCCTTGATTTTTCAGATGCAGATAAGGTTGTACATGGTCGCGAGCTGAACAATAAAATAGAAGAAAGTTTTTGAGGTAGGCACTCAATTTAAATGATGTTACCTTCCAAAGCCGATGTGCAAACCGGTACATCCCATATAGAAAACAATACCGTATATAGTCCAGTCTACTCTACTTCCGTCGAACATATAGGAAGCTCCACCAGAGGTCTTGTGTGTGAATGCCAAACTTTTCTACTTGTTCTGGATAATCAACTCTAGCCACATCCTGTGCCGAAAAACACAGCCTCATAGCCTGAATGCACTGTTTACATATCTATATACAACCGAACCATCCGGGTGTTCTCAAACGATAAGTCCAGTCTCCAATCTCTTTGTTTCCTATTCATTCCTCTACCCTTCCCGGCTAAATCTCTATTCAAACGAACATTGGCCAGCTTCCATTTGGCAGAACCACTCTCTACATCAAATGACTCGAGCTCCAATATACCGTCCTTCTCTTCTGAACTGCTGTCACTTGAGGTTTCAATGTAACTCACGTACATGGGCAGGTCCTTAAAGCGCTCCAAATCTTGGGGAATACGCACTACACGCTCAGCTCCGGGAGAAGACACCTGTAGGGTTGGAAAATCATTTGTGAACTCAAAACTCAGGAAAACGGTATAATAACATGTCACAATGTGAGGTTACGCTGAAGAACACGTCGTTGAAGACCTATGCAACGACGAAATTCATAGATCCTAGAAGAATCTTTCGATGTTAAAGATGAATTACCTCCAAAGCCAAATCGTCAGGAACAGTTTTTTCTTCTCCGGCTTTGTCCAAGGCTTTTGAGTATGTCGAGGAGAATTTCTGAATCTCATCCATTGATGGGGAACCATATCTGCAAAGTCCAGCAGCACCAGCGATACCAAGGAACGATTTAGACGAACGAAATCTTTGTCTACGATTCAAATACGACACACTGCAAAGCAATTTGTAGCAAATCTGAATACTTTAAAAGCACCTACACAACCATTAGAAACACATACTTGTCTGATAACTTATCCACCCGGACTCGAATGATGCCAGATTCTTTTGATGCTTTGAAAGCAAAGATTTCAAGACCGTCAAACTGAGCCACCGTCTCCTCTGCTAATCGATGAGCTGCCTTAGCCCAAGGAGCATCTCCCAGCACTATGCCTCCTCCATCCCCACCGTCGTTCAGCTGCAAAGAAAGATGAAGTTTATGATATCAATACGTAATGGTCTAAGGCGTTACGTTCTAACAAAATCATCGCATGTATGCTTGTAGTTTGGCAAACGTCAAAGAAATGAAAAATATGCTAGAGTAGACTAGAGTAACCCATCAGCAACCCCAACATTACCAGTTGAGTATAGGCTCACTCTTATCAATACAAAAATCACAGAAAAGAAAGAAAAGGAAGGAACAGGAAAACAGACACTAGGCATCATAATACTAGAGACCAAGATCAAGTAGTCTCCCACATTGGTAGAATTATGGCAACCTTATCTTAAAAATACCAACCTCAGCTTCTGGTTCGAAGTCATCTTCCCAGAAATCATCATCATCCAGGTGCTCCCCTAATTCCTCTGCCAAGTCATCCTCTATCACTGCATCGGAAAAACTAGCTCCTTAAATCCCAATACACTGTAAGTGTGTTATTTGCACCTGCATATCACATTGTTTTGTTTTGTTTTGTTTTGTTTTTTTTTTTTTTTTTTTTTTTTTTGGAAGGGTAGCATCCCAATTATCTTGGGTTTTAGAATTAAAACTGTAGGAATTTTCCAGCGAGGGCTAATAGACTGACATGTAGACGCCAATAACTAGAGTATGGCATATGTGGCAAAGGTACCGCTTTAAACTAGCAACATGTAATTACTCACAATTTCTATAAAGCACTTGCGCAATCAAAGTCACTGAAGAGAAAGAGATCTCTCGTCCAAGTTTAGGTGCTGGAACAAACGGCCTTAGATCCTACTTTGAAGTAGGAAATAAGACGAAGAACAACGGGAGAGAGAAAAAAAGAAAGAAAGGAAACTTTACCCCTTGAAGACTCATCATCGCCGTCCAAAGCCTGGTGCTCTTCAGCTGATTCCGACACAACTACTCCTGATACAGCACCTTTCGCAACGGTACCTTTATCCTTCAATTTCTTCTTATCCTTTTTCTCCTTTTTGTGAAACTCAGTTGAGGAGTTCGATTCATTGGATTTCTCTCTCCCAGGTTCTCCGTGCTTAATCTTATTCTTGAGTTTCTTCTCTTCTTTCCCTTCACTAGACAATTTGGGCTCCCGGATCTCCGCAGTGAATGCACCATTCTGCACCAACACTGAATCAGCCTGTTCATTCTCAATCCCTTCGGTTATAGCTTTTTCCTTCAGCTTCTTCTTCCCCTTCGATTCTGCGTGCAACTCAGAGTCCTGAACCTCCTCCATAATTATGTTTTGCGCATTGACTGCACCATCATCTATCTCTGAGGCAACGCCATTGTACGATAGATCTTTCGATTTCTGCTGTTTCTTCTTCTTCTTCTTCTTCCCCTCAACTTTCTCGGTTTCACCCTCTCCCTCTACTTCCTCTTCCCTGTCTTCGACTAACACATCTTTCTCAGACTTTTTACCTTTCTTACTTGCAACTCTACTGTGAAGCTGCCTCTGGCAATGCATAAAACCACCGGGGACTCCAAACCCGTCATAGCTAGTGCTTAAAAGCTCACTGAACGATCTCTCTGCAAGTCGTGGTCGCACCTTCTGCCTGATGCCTCCGCGCTCTCGCAACTGAACCCCCGAAATAAATTCATGCGCCGCACACACGGATGTGCAAAACTGCTGTGAGGCTACATAGAAGGGTGCCACTTGTGCTGTCCAACATAGACTGGCCGGACCAAATGATAGCAATTTGAGCGTTCTCATAATCAAAAAGTCTGCAACCCCGAGGAATTCAAACAAATGTAACCCGCAATCCCTAATCCTAGCTGCCCTTCGATAACACCGCCCTCCTCCTCTCAAAATAATAATAAAAATAAAAATAAAAAAATACACCAAAAACCTCCCGCCCTAAATCACCACTTCAAATTTACTTGCTTTCCAACAAAGTGGAGAATTCTCGAGGAAAGAAGTTAGAATCTGGCCCAAACAATGTCGATGCTCGCAAAGCAGTTCCAGCACACGGCACTCATTCACAAGAACACAAAGCTGATGCAAATGTTTCGGCACGCGCCACTTCCCAATCACCAACCCAAAATTCCTAGATCTTCACGGGAACCCCCGAAAATCCTGAAGCATACAAAAGAATCAGAGGATCCAGCACAACTGGATGAGAGAGCCAGGGACGTGGATGGCGGACACATCAAAGACGCCTTCAATCTTTACCCACGTTGAACGGGGGCACCATCATGGGCAAAGGAGGCTGGGGGCTATCTTCCCAAGTGGCCACCTCCAATAGCCAACGTCTTCTTCATCCAGCCATGTCACCAAAGTCCGTCGAGTAAGCTTCGACGGATTCCGCCACGACCCCAATTCGCGTGATGAAAATGCAGTAAGAGATAGATAGGGCTCGCAACAACTGAGCTTTCTGACACTGCATCTGGAAAGCGAGGAAAGAGTTTGTGAGTGCCTGTCCCGTTGGATCTCGCACTAAGCGATGAGATCCCCCTCCCCCTGCCAGATTCAAAGACATGGTGCAGATTCTGTTCGAACCCACATTCCATCGCCATGCCCGGTTCTCAACTTTCCTGCGACAGTCTCCACAAACAAGATTCTCATGCAGCCCGTGCAGGTCAACATGAGTGACGTCCAAATTAGGATTTCAGAGAATCCAAATCTCATCCTTCACACCATATATATATATATATATATATATATATGTGTGTGTGTATGTTTATATATATATATATATATATATAAACACTAGTATGTATACTAGTGGAAATCCATATCATTGGTCATGAAAAAGCTCTAAAAGCTCAATTTGTGGTGGTTAAGTAAAAAATTGACCACTTCTAAAAAACCAAGAAAAAAGAAAAGAAAATATTAGTATCTTTTTTTTTATATAAATTAAAAACCAAGAAAAAAGAAAATTTTAACATAAAAATATATGTGGTCAGTTATTTGTGATCTATTGATATAAATATTGAATTATTAACAAATATATTTTCATGTATTCTAAAACAATGAAAGTAATTTGAATCATTACACAATAAGTATTGAATTAGATTTATAAATTTTTCCAATCACATATTTGATTTTTTTTTAAATATTAGTAATAAATTCTATAGAATAATTAATATTTAAATAGTTAATCATCAAATTTTATTTAATTTCAATTTATCATATCATAAATAATGTCACAAATACACTATACAAAAGACCAAATAAGAAGTTGAATAGAAGAGTTTTAACAAGAAACTTAGCATGAACTTGATTAAATTAGTTGAATATAAGATCAATACAAAAAGAGGTAAGCTAAAGCTCTAAGAGATACATTGTCAAGATTAACGATCTCCTCAGCCTTGATTTTGATATATATTAGGTATTAGGAAGCTTTTCAAGAAATTTCTATATTACTTGAAGACAAAAAAAACCTTAGGATTTTTTTTGGACAACTTCTTTAATCATCATAGAACTTTTTAGAACTTGCTCAAATATTTTGAAAATCTTCTAGAATATTTTGAAATAATTTAAGAATCTTTTTAAAAATCTTCAATTAAAATATTTTACTAGACTATTCTAAAAATATTCTTTAAATCTTCTTATTGGATATTTTTTTAACATTACTTCTTCTTCTAATTTTAAGTTCAGTGAGGAATATTGGTTTTACATCTACAAGAATTCAAGGATTTCTTGAATAGAAGTTGTAACATATACTATCCATTGATATCTACTCAAATAATAGATAGATCTACTCAGATAGCAATAATGGCCACCTTCATCTACTTATGGAAGACCTATTCTTTAGACTTGGTTAGCATTAAGGCCTCTAAAACATCTATAAAAAGTGACTTTAGTTCCATTAAGATCCATTGCACCAACTTGCAATAGAATGATCAAAGCTTGAGTATCATCTTAAAGGTTTTCTTATTTGAATTGAATGTAGCATGGATGTTTATTTCTCTTTAGAAGGTCCAACTTCATCTTGAAGATGAGTTTATGAAGGTTGTGAAAGTTAGAACAGTTGATTTCGTAGTTGTAATAAGAAAAGCTCCAACTTTGACTCTATTTGAGATTTATGATGTAAAGACTCCTTGAACACTCTCTAATTTGACATATTGGATCATAAATTGGATATATTAAATACTAAAATTATTGTAAGCAATACCTAATCTCTTTTTTATAATACAACATCCTAATAGAAACTTCATAAAGAAGTCATTCTAAATTAGATTTAGATTTTTGAGGATAGTATCAATAAGACTCTTGTATCTTTTGCAATGCATTAATTAGATTTTTTGTTAGTTCTTATGTGCTTTCATTGATATTATAGCCATGCCAATGAATAAAGTATTCCAACTTGTCTCTCCTCTCCCAAGAATCATAGACTTTTTTTACTTCATATTCTACATGATTATTTATTTCAATATAAGGTGGTGATGGTTGTATTCTTTCTAGAATAGTTGATTTTGTATAAGCTTTTAAGAGAGAAATATAAAAGATTAGATGTACTTTCGTAGATATGAGTAATTTTAACTAATAAGACATTGAATTGATTTGCTTTTGAATATAAAATGGCCCTAGTATTTGATAGTCCAACTTATTGCAAAGCTAGTTGGTTTTGATATTTATCAACGAGGCCATACTTTATTTCCAACTTAAAAAGTAATAGTTTTTTTAAAAAATTCGTCTAAAGATGTTTTGTAAGAATCTTGAATTGCTTATAAATGGAGCTTTAAAGTTGTTTGGAGGTGTAACAATTATTTTGTAAGATCTTTAGTTGCTGGATTTTCATCCTTTGATGTATCTAATAAATGAAGCTTTGGATGGTAACCATAATTGGCATAAAATGGTGTTTGTTGAGTCACAGTATGAAGAATTTTTTATAAGCAAACTTTGCTAAAAGTATATATAAGGTCTAATCATCTAGTTAATAATTGATGGTACATTATAAATATTATTTTAAATTTAATTGACTTATTTTGTTTGACCATTGGTTTGAGGATAGAAGATAGAAGAAAATTTGATATCCACTTTGAACATTTTGAAAAAAGATTTTTAAAACTTTGATATAAACTGAGGTCCTTGGTTTAAAATGATTCATCAAGTAGACCATGATATTGATATATATTATTAAGAAAAAACCTTATTGTTTCTTTTCCAAAAATTATCTTTTTATACAAGATAGAATGTGCTATCTTTATAAGTTAATCCATAATAATATAGATAGTATCAAATGTAGGTAATGGAAATAGATCATTGATGAAGTCTAATGATATTAAAGACCATGATGACTTTGAAATTGGTAGTAGCTATAAGAGTCTAAAAGAAAATTTTTGGAAATTCTTAGAACTTGAACAGATGTCATAGGAGAAGATAAAGTTCTTTACAGCCTTTCATATTTGAGGCCATGGCTTTCTACAATAGAATGCAATTGAATGGAGCTTTCTATCCTTTTTCATTTACAATAGTACAGTTCTTAATACAAAGTTAAAAGTATCAGTCTTCAAATAAAAAGCTTTTGTAAAATCTAGATGCATTAAAATTAGAATTATAATAAAAGTTGCTTTTAAATCTTGAAAAGCTATTTGTGTTTGAAGTTATCATTTTAATTTATTTTTGGATATCAACTAAGTAAAAAGAGGAACAACTTGGGAGTAATTTTTGATAAATATGTAATAAAAATTAACAAATCCAAGAAAACATTGTACATCCTTTATTGTCTTTGAAGTTGTTGACTTCATTACAGCTTGAATTTTTTTTGGATCCTTCAATAGGCCTTCATTGGGAATAGTAAATCTAATAAATTTTATTTTTGATTAATAGAGTATATATATTTTTTAATTTGGCATATAATCTTGTATCTTGCAACTTTTGCAAGACTAATCTCATATATTCTTTATGTTCTTTAAGAATCTTAGAATAAATTAAGATATCATGAAGATAAAAAATAATAAACTTATCTAAGAATTCTTAAAAAACATCATTCATCAAGTATTAGAATATGATTGGAATATTTGTCAATCCAAAAGACATGACATCATATTCAAAATGTTCGTATCTTATCCAAAATATTGCCTTCTATTCATCTCCTTTTTTAATCCATACCAAATTATACACTCTGTAGAGATCTATTTTGGTATAGATCTTAGATTGATCAAGTTGCTCTAAAAGTCCTAATATCAATAATAAGTGATAATGATTTTTCATTGTTATTTTGTTAAGGTTGCAATAAATAATATATATTTAAAAAGATCCATTTTTTCTCTTCATAAAAAATATAAGTGCATCTATTGAAGATTTGGAATACCAAATAAAGTTTTTCACAAGTTTTTTATTAATATAATATTTTAATATTAAAATCTTGTTCTATAATAGATTATAGATTGGATCAAATGGTATTTGAACCTCTTTTTAAAGATGAATGGCGCAATCATATGATCAATGCTCTGATGATATGACAGCATTTTTTTTTTTCAAAGATATCTTAAAATTTCTTATATTACTCTAAGATAGCTATTAACAAGCTTGCTTCTTCACTAATTGAAGTTGCATAAATAATAAATGATATTTCTTTCTTAGCTATCTTTATAGAAGCCTTTGTTTTAAAAAATAAGAGCTTTGTAGTTGATGACTTCTTAATAGATTTTCTCTAAAGGATTTCTATAGAAAATTCAATCTTATGAAACTTCCAATCTATAAATGTTTTATATCTTTTAAACTACAAAAGTCCTAAAATAAAAGGATTTAACAAGATTTTAATAATATTTAATACTATTTTTCTACTATGATGCTCAAATGATATTTTTAGTAATATGGTCTTATAAATAATATTTCCTAAAGATAAAGATCTATTATCTATTATTTCTATGTATACAATTTTTAACTTTTTCACTAAATTTTTTTTATGAAGTTTGATAAAATCTTCATCTAAAAAGCAAGCAGATGCTTTTGAATCTAATAAGATATTTATTTGAAATTTTTGTGGGCCAAAAAATAAAGGTATACTAAAACAATAAGTAAGTTGGATAAAAAAAGAGGAACCTTGATGAAATTAAGTTATTAGAATATTTAGCTACATGGTCCATATTGTGACTAAGCTTCTTTGTTTTTCTCAATGATTACACTCTTATTCTAAGTTGTACATTGTTTCTTTGAAGAATTCTTAGATTTGTGGTCTCTTTCACCACAACAAAATATAAGCTTTATTCAAATCAATACTTCTTTTTCTTTGTTATAAGAAGTTTGAATTATATTGCATTAATTTGCATATCTTGAATTTTAGAGTGTAGAAGCAATGTAGTTGTTGAAGCAGCAGAATACTAATTTTTAGTGTATTGCTTTGTTAA